TGGCATTGTTCAATGGGACTAGCTCTCATTGTCTCAACATGGCCAGTTTGTTCGGCTGCTGTTGATTGCTAAGTGCATCAAAGTGCATTTGTTCACCTGATGCGCTATGCTGCCTCTGTCTGTGTTAGAGTTAACCTCTAAAACAAGGCTTATATTGACAAGTTCTACTTCATTTATTAAAGTGGCACATGGACTGAAAGCTGACCAGTTAGATTGAAAATCACTTGAATAAAATTACTCAAGCAGTTTAGACAATATTTCTGGTATTGATCCGGATATATCCTTACCAACACCTGCACAAAGTTTTGCTCGATGAAAAAGTTTTTGTAAAGCAGAACTTTTCTTTGCTGAAAAAAAAAGTCTGTGTTAAACAGTAAATTCTGAATGACTTACCGATCTGCGACGGAGACAGACCCTTCTTGGACAGCTTGAAGATTTGTTCTTTCACATCTTCAGCAGACAGTTTCAGCCACTGTGATGACAAACGAATGTCAGAACTATCAATACGATAAACTAATGTAAGTGGAAAAATGGAAGAAGAAATTTCCTTTTTACAGTCGAATCTCATTACTACGAAATCCGCGGGACCTAGTAGAGACATTAATTGTATCTGAAATTTGTTGTACGCGGAACGCAGAGCAATGCCTTAGGCGTACTGTAGGAATAGATTTTATTGTGTACAATCCCATGTACAATGTACATGTACTGTATATGGACGCATTGTGCACGTGAATGTGGTTGACGTTAATGCCAAAAAGATCTCTTGGTTATGACAAATCAAATACGTTGTGATGGGTTCAGAAGAATAAACTTCACTGTCATATGACAACAAGTTTAATGTAGATGTGAGATAAAAAGCAAATGCATGTCAAAGCATCGATCCAGGGATTTTTAAAAGACTTTCGATCGCCATGGATGAGGACGGAGCTAACTTTACGGCATGCACATGTAAGCCTGTGTGTACCTGCAAGAATGGGAAGGTTGGGTGTGGCGGGAACCAGTGCAACTGAGCATATTTTCAACGTAGTGCGATGCATGAATGCTCGTTATAAATGGGTGGTCAACAATGGTTTCTCAGGCAACGGAGTCACGAAAACCTTTCGTGGTACCACTGTACCAGGAATTTCGTACAATGCAATTTCCCTGTAACAGATTTTTCCCCCACAGAAATGTGCACATTTTTGCCGTGACCAAAGATGTGTGTTTGTTATAACCGGAATTTTGTTGTGGCCGATTTCGTATTAACGAGAGTCGACTGTATTTGGTCTAACACTCGTAGCATTTAGCTTTTAAACTGCTCCGTTTTGCTAGACTGGTTTGCTGTCATAACAACAGAATATAACAGCAGGTGGCCATCAATGACCAAAATAAAGCATGATGTCATGTTTGGGATGCCCCATCTCTGATCAGATGCAGCATGCATGTCTGTTGAGCTGGTGTAACCAAAGTTGCGCAAAAGTGGGTATCAAGAAGCCAAAAATACCATGAAAGGTTGAGGATCTCTTGAAATGAGGTGCATGCGAGGGAAAACGTGAAGCGAAGCAAGACATTTGTGTCCAACTGATGGTTGCGGTTATCCATGATACTATCTAAAAATCAGCAAAATGGGTCCGGAAAACTGCAACCAATTTTTGCAAACTATGTGGAATCTCCCCTCCTTGGTCATGTGACTATGGTGGCTACTAGACCCAAAGATCTTTTTCAAGAAATCTTTTGATCTGGGTACCGGACTACCGTTACGGCCTAAAACAGAACCACTGTAAAGTACTTTATCCTGTTTGGATTATGGTTTTCCCATTGCGGCAAGCCCTGCACAGAAGCAACGTCAGTGCCAGTTTTGGGCGTGGCTAAATATCATAGATGGCAGATTGAAAACCTTTTGTGCAAAGAATACCAAGTCTGCATGACAACTGACTCTAGGACACATTACCAAGCATACTTACCGTTGGTACACTGCGACGGTAGGGCAAAGCGGAGGCGGAGATGCCCTTTCTGCAACAGACAGGAGAATGCCGATCAGTTGACAAGTAATCCACATTACTCCAATTACATATTAATAATATAATTAATATTAATCAATATTAATCAACTCAACTGGACATAAAAAATAGCGAACGTTCTGTCACATTTTGTTCTTGGTTGCTTGCATCTCATTTTTGAACAAACTCATTGATTTTTTTAAAAACGTACTAGTTTCATTTGCTTTATGTGGGGCTGTTTGTACAGTTTTCAATTCAATGGCATCAAGCATAAAACAGTAAAAAATATTATGGAAAAAAGTATGACACTAATTGTAGTAGTTACAGTGACATGATAGAGCAAAAAGCTAAATTTAATATGGGCGATTCACAGTAATGCGCCTCTAAGAGTTTGTGACACGTTGCTTAATCCCAGCATATGGAATCTGTTAACCCTTTCCAAATGCGCTACGGCAGTATGGGTCAACAGGTTTTGTGCACTGTGATTGGCCACCACCATAAACATGTTGCAAAATCTTGGAGGTACACTATTGTGAAACTCCTGTATTGGCAAATACATGTAATTCGGGGAATATTTGTTCTGTAGCGTTATGGGTTAAATTTAACTTAGACTGAATAAAAAATACAGCGCCCTCATTGACATTGTCAATTGAAAATGGCTACCTTCGGCGAGAAACTTCAAGTCGCCCTGAACACAGCGACTTTCTACCCTAATATCTCTCTCCTGTCAAATCCAAGTCCCTGAACACCCCATCCATAAACACCCATACTGAAATAACAGTGGTAAATTTAATTCTTTTTTGTTATTTCTTTTTCAATAAAGGTGATATTTGACGACAAATTTAACCCACCCTGGAGCGTGCATGCGACCCATGATGGCAGATTGTGGGGAAAGACAGAATCACGTGACCCAACCTATCACCAACACTTTTTAACAAGTTTGAAAGCTTGCCCTTATTTTGCTACAAGTAAAATTAAATAATGAGTGTTACATTTCCTCTATAGTAGTTAAGTTCGTTCATTTTGGCAAAATAATGAGTTTTGAAGACTAGTTAAATAAGAGAAGTTTAAGTGGTTCGCTGTTTACCTTTTTAGTCGCAAGCCAGGGGGTACTTATCTTGTATGTTGTGGGTTTACTTTAATTCCGTGTATTTCGCTCGGACTCTGACCCTGGCACGTACGGCACGTGCAATTCCGAGTAGAGCACGTGTCTACTGTACTGTACATATGTACATGTACATATACAGTACATGTACATGTACATAAATCGTGCTTGATTCGATAATCCGTCCACAGTTCAAGTTCCCTTTTTCATGTAAGTCCACAGACACTATCAAAATCATGCATGAGTTCCCATATTATCATAGAAATGTACGTGCATCATGCACAGCCTGGGGGTGTCACCGCGTCTATAGCGCGGAAGGCAAGTTTCCTGGGGAGAGAAGGCCCAGCATAGCACAGACGGTACCCCCAAATTGTCCGCGTCCGCGCGTCAGCCCCGCTAGTCCGAGTCGTGGGGTGGCCCGCGCGCGGGGCGCCATCGGACCCGCCCACAGTTCAAGTCTGGCCGGCCGGGGGGGGGTATAGCAGAGTCAAATTGCCGACTTGTTCGCCAACTTCGTAAAAATTGGAAATCCATGGTACACTGCATTTCTGCTTCAGGGGAAATGCCGACGGCCAACGTATGAAATTTATTTAATCGAAGCCCTGGAATTAATTATTGGGGGGTGCCGCACACCCCCGCCCCCTACCACCACCAGTGGCGTAAATTTGTGTAGGGGGTGGGAGGAGTGACCTGAAAATTTGAAAAGGGGGGGGACAATATGACTCAATATAGAAGTCCATGTCTATGATATTAAGGTATTTGTAATATGTATTCGCCATGACATACTTATGGCTTGTTAAACTTGTTTTCTCCTTTAATGAGTGATACTGAATGTATTTTAATCGTTGGCAATCTAAAAACTTCTTCAGAATCCACTTACATTTTGTACTCACCATAAAAAGTAGCCGGGAACGATTCTATCTGCTCCGAGCGGACAAACTGAGGGCGTGTATTTTTTTTTCACGTACTCGCCGCATAGACGCTAAATGAGGCGCCCAAGTACATACGCGTTTGACGCGGAGCACGCTGAGTACGCATATCCGCGTAGCGTTCCGGCATGTATAGAGTGTCGAAGTGTGACGTCACTTTGAACCAGAAAGTGCAGTGCAAACGAATGGAGTACGCACGCGTGTTGATTCACGCGCTGGTTCACGCGCTAATGCTTTTTACTCACTAATTGTGCGCATGACGTATTCACTTCCGTACTTAATAGTCCTTGCGTACAAGCAGAACGTGTGCAAGAACACGCTTGTAACCACCTGTCTTTCTTTCGCCGTTTGGGGCTGATACCAAGTATCCCGCCTCCCAAAAAGTGTGTCCGGCGGCGGTGGATCATTCCCCCCGGCATGCTCGGTTCAATACAAATCACTTCTTTCAAGGGGGGAGGGCTATTTGGAGACCCAGAGAGTCAAGATTTCTTCCTGCTCCTTTATGGGACGAGGCATGTCTTGGCGCTTTTCGCGTTGCATTCTTTGGAAACATACAGACACTTACTTAACTGTCCTTACAAAATTTTCCGCTCAAAAGGCCGCTCCATCTTTGACAAGAACTGAACCCAGTGTCTGGTATGGAGTTTGGTGGAAAATTTTACTTGCCTATTTCCGCGTAGATCTTCTTTTCATAATTTGTCAGAAATGCTCAAACGAAAATTGAACTTTTTCAAAGATGAAAACTCTGGGCAAAGGTTAACCCCCCCCCCATGTCGCACCTTCGGTGAAAAGAAACCCCTGCGCCAGGCGGTCCAAAGAGCTAGTCACGAACTACACGTATTAATTTCGCATCTTCGTTCCTTCTCGTCTGGCTTCCATTTCAACTAATCAATAGAGCGATATTATAACGGGATTGGGACCATGCAAAAATCAATTTTGCATTATGTATGTCTTTGGCCTTTAAACTTTGTACCCGGTTTATCGCGATCGCGTATCGTGGCTCAGCGCTCTTATCGTTTCTGTATCTAGAATTATAAACTTTTCAGGTCACTTGTGCCCGGTGTTCTTGTTATTGAATTGAATAGTCTTTCGAGAGCTAAATTCGGCCATCATGGCGGACTCTTTCCCACCAAGGACTTCCAGCTTTCGGTCGCATTCGTTCATCAAGATGCGACCGGTGGCGTCGTCTTCGAAAATCCAGCGGACCCTGGGCGGGTTGGACCTGATGGATGACATCGGGAATGAGATGGATCGAGGCCGGACAGCCGCCCAGGAGAACAGATGGGTGTTTGAGGTTGCTTGGGAGGTCGCCAATAAAGGTCAGCATTGACTAACGTTAGGCCTACTGTTGTTGTACCCTAAAGTGGCGCCGCCCCTAATCATGCGGTGCACTTTGACCAGAGCATTATTTTTTACTCAAATACTTAAGTTATAGGGCCTAGGCCTGCGCTAGCACTAGGCCTAACCAACTTGGCCGTACGTATGTCATTGTAAGAGAAATTTCATCACGTTTTCTCATTTCTGTTTATAAATCTTTGAACTTGAAGTTTGTACCCATTACAGAGTTCCAACGAAACTTCACTTTGGCCTAATTTCTGATTTTTTTCTTTCAAAGTGCAAAATGGACTCTTTTGAAATAAGTCCCACAGGAAGTAACTTAGCTGGATAGGCCTATTGTGAGTGGAGGTACAAAGTGGGCCATCCGGGGGGCGGGGCCTAACATATAACCTACATGGGGAAGAATTCCATACACGTACTTCATTTAGTTTTCCCTGCAGTGACATATCTATAGGGAAAATATTTGGCTTAGAATTCTTTCCCCTACAGAAAATCATATTTTTAGAGGTTTTTGGGGGGATGGTGGTGTACGTGGGTACCCATTAATGCCAAAATCTGAGAACAACATGTACAGTTCATGAATTTTTGTACCAAATTCACAACGCACAACTTCCACAATGACTTATTTTTCCCGAATTTCTTTTCTTTTGAACATTTTCACAATAACCGTAAACTATTTAATTAAAAATTAATTTTATTAAACAGTAATTAGTGATTATGCATACCCCTTTTGCCATTGTGCTTGGCAAAAAAAAGAAGGAAATACCGTACAGTGTGGTACCAATGTGTACATTTTTGCTGTCCACTCACCCAAACCTTACCACTAAAACTCTTGTTTTCCTTTGACAGTCGGTGGTATTTACACTGTCATCCGTTCCAAGGCTGCGGTTACCATGGAAGAGCTTGGGGACCAGTGCATTATGCTGGGCCCGTACACCGAGGCCACCGTCAAGATGGAGGTGGAGATTATGGAGCCTGAGAACGAATTGATAAAAGGCGCGATGGACAGCATGAGATCCAAAGGGATTAAGGTAGTGGAAGATCTGGTGCAGTTTCTGTTAAACTTTGAAAATAGAAATACAGTGCATTGCAATTGAAAGTTAACCCTGTGAGTGGAAAATTTTTGGAAAAGAATGTACATGTTCTTTTTTGCATTTCCACCAGGTGTGAAGCTATTTTTCCACTCGAGTGTAAAGGCGTGAAAATGATTTTTTTTCTCCAATTGTGTGAGATGGTGGCAGACATTTTCCTACTTGTGGGAAAACAGAAGGCCACGGGCCTCATTATTATTCAATTCGGATTTTGGAGACGTCAAGCTATGTAAAGCCAAATTGCTACCACTTTGTGGGGGGGGGGAACTACATACAGTATGTCTTTCATTTGAATGTCATGATTTGCCAGGATCATCAGCCAGCATTTGAAAATTAGAGGCTCTGGTTGCCTTGATTTGAAAGCCTGCCGGGTGAACAAAAGAACCCAAGAGTTTCAATTCTGAAGACATACCTTGGAGGGGAATTCTCTGAAGCATGTCTGTCGCAGTCTTCCACTTTAGACTTTCTTGTACAGTGGAGACCATTACAAGTCCTTGCAAGCTCATCACAAGTGTCTGGTCTTAACTCGAACCGTCCAAGAGTATTTGGCCAGAAACCCTGCCAGACACATCAATCTGCATTATTTTTCACAGTGGCTTGCCTGCCCTGTGTAACAAGACCCAACAGGTTAACTCTTCCCAATGCCTAACAGCCTGGGAGTCTGTGGTCACCAGTCACCACAAGATCCAATGGTAGCATTGTTCAATGGGACTAGGCCCCATTGTCTGAATATGGCCAGTTCGTTTGGCTGCCGTCAATTGCCCAGTGCATCGAAGGCATCAGACTTTTTCACCTGATACAATCTGCTGCATCTGGCAGGGTTTAAGTTAAGCCAAGCCTCAGGCTACTAACCGTGACAAAAATATTCCTTTGTCATCGTTCACCTTGGTACCCGTGACTGGTCTAGTGACTGGACTTTTAACGGGACCTGTGATGGAATGACGACACCAGATGTGTCAAAGAACTTTCCTTGTTTTTTGTTCTTCCAGGTACATTATGGGAGATGGCTCATTGACGGGTACCCAGGTGTCGTGCTCTTTGACATCGGATCCGGGGCGCATTATCTCGAGGACTGGAAGCACAATCTTTTTGAAATGTCCCATGTCGGGATTCCGTGGCACGACAAAGAATCCAACGACGCCGTGATCTTTGGCAATCTGTGCGCCTGGTTCATTGCAGACGTAAGTAAAACAAAGATGCGGCAATGGCCAATGACAGGTTTTCAAACTTCCACTTTGCCTCAAGGTCTGGCTTCGAACCTAGAGGAAGAGACTGTTGTGTAATGAGCAACACCCAAATAGCGCCCTCTGTCAGGAATGCACGGGTCATATAGAAATCTTTACACATCTGTTTGACGACAGCATGGCTCTTAGGGTTACAGACGTTCTCTCTTTGTTTCAGTTCCGAAAGCAGTTTCAAGAGTCCGAGAACCCACTGATCACAGCCCACTTCCACGAATGGCTGTCTGGTGTTGGACTCATCCTGTGCCATCTCCGCCACATTGACTGCGCCACGATATTCACCACTCATGCCACGTTGCTAGGCCGGTACCTGTGTGCGGGCAATGCCGATTTCTACAACAACCTGAGCACGGTAGGGGTTACAGGGAACTATTTTCGTAAACGGTTCTATGCAGGAACTTTTGTAGACAGTGCAAGTGCATCAGTTCTGGTCCTCAGTTCCAGTTTCATAGAGCTGTTCAGAAATTTGCTAAGCGCACAATATAGTGCTTAACAAATTCAGGTTACCCGCCGACAAACAGTCGTGGTATATGTATTGCTTGCAGTTGGTACTCTGCTGAGTTTTGCTCAACCCATGAATTTTCTCAGTTGTGTTTTTCTGGTAAGAAGCTGTACATGATAAGTAGATGGGGCACCTGTTATGGTCTAGTTTCTTTGTCAGTGTGGTGCTACACTCACCCAACACGAGATTAGGGATCAGGCTAGTTTCAATGAGATTCCACTGTTTGTTACCAGTTCAATCTTGACAAGGAAGCAGGCGACCGTGGTATCTACCACCGCTACTGCATGGAGAGGGCTGCCGCTACCTTGGCTCACGTTTTCACGACTGTCTCCAACATCACGGCCGAAGAAAGCCAACATCTACTGAAGAGACTACCAGGTAATCACTGCAGTGCTAAGAGTATTATTACCCCTGACAGTCACGCCCATAAATATCTCTGACCCTTGGCATTTCATAATCGTGTCAGATCTCCCAGATCCTTTCAAATCTGCAAGTTGTGGAGAATTTGGCAGGATTGAGGAAGGTAGAGCTGCCCAGCCACTGTTACTTTACATGGGGCTTGATGCCCCCTGTAGGTTGAAGTTCAAAGAATGTGCCGTTGGTTTCCTGCATAGTGGAGGATTTGGCAGCAATGCCACATGGCATATTCCTGCTGGGAGTATCTTGCATGCATGTATGCATGCATGTCAGATTTTTGTGATTGGTCAGAGCCGTAGGGGTGGGGCTTCAGGGATTGGCCAATTCCTGAGGGCGGGTTGAAGAGGACTGGTTCATTGTCTCTTGGCCTAACCACTTCACAATTTGATTGGATAACATGCACTGTGCATATGACTGCAAAGTGGATTGCTTGAGGACATAAGATCCTGACTGCTGTTAGAACCATTGTTGTAATCGCTGTATGGCACCTTCCAGACCTGGTCCTACCCAACGGCCTGAACGTCGTCAAGTTCCAAGCAGTGCACGAGTTCCAGAACCTCCACGCCAAGTCCAAGGAGAAGATTCACGACTTTGTTCGAGGCCACTTCCACGGGTGAGTGCGGAGCAAGGAAACTAAAGCCCTCGTGGGCGCCACTAAGAAGCGAGAGATGACACACTGAATGTGCAGATGCTGCTAAATGCACAGATCAGATTTCACTGGAATGTGCACAAAAAGAAAGTATCAGAGAGTGTGCAAAATGCAGTGGAAAACGTGATCAGGTATTCTGTGTCTACAATAATGCTTTGTGTTGTCACTAAGGTTTCAATAAAGCACACAGCAGTCCACCCATGTTCATCTTTATGATCAAACAAAAAAAATCAGTGCTGTAACTGAGTCCTTTGTGATTTTTTTTTCAGACACTATGACTTTGATTTGGACAAGACGTTGTACTTCTTCACAGCTGGTAGATACGAGTATCACAACAAAGGCGCCGATGTCTTCCTAGAATCTCTAGCCAAGCTGAACCATCTCCTGCAGGTGAGGAAAGTCAAAAACAAATGTAGCTGTAAAAGTATTGCTACCACTCACAGACAGGAGCACCAACAGCAACAAGGCAATAGCAACAGCAACAAGGCAATAGCAACAGCAACAAAGCAACATCAACAAAGCAATAGCAACAGCAACAAAGCAATAGCAACAGCAACAAGGCAATAGCAACAGCAACAAGGCAATAGCAACAGCAATGTCACTTTTCATTGTCTTGATTATACACATAGATTTACCATTCCTTTTGAAATGATCTGAGTTTCCAGTAAAGATTGTATGACTCCAGGAGCTCAGCTTTATAAGCCTCTTCATTCAGCTTTACCGATATTCTGAGTTCAAAGGTTCTAACTTTGTTTCTTGAAAACCTACAATGAAGTAAACATTTGGACTCCACTTTGCCACTAGTGAATGTTCTACCTGTGATTTTTCACTCTGCAACTTTGTGTTCACTGAGTTTCCAATTCGCTTTTTGGTGAACCAGGTTAACAAAAGTGACATGACCGTGGTAGCATTCCTCATTTTTCCGACCAAAACAAACAACTTCAACGTTGAGTCCCTACGTGGCCAAGCTATCAGCCAGCACTTCAGGGAGACAGTGGCAAACATCAAGGACAAAATCGGCAAAAAGATCTTTGAGTCCATCCTGAGGTGAGACAAGTAGTCGGAGGTTGACAGCTCAGTTAGTCCTTCCCTGAATTGTGATGGACATGTGACTGACTTATGATTGACGTAAAGTGACTTACAATGAACTTGAGTGACTTGTGATTAGCTTGCGATTGACTTGTGAAATGCAATTGATTTGTGATTGGCTTGTGACTGGCTTGTGACTGACTTGTGATTGACTGGTGATTGACTTTGACTGACTTGTGACTGATGTGTGATTGACTTGTGATTGTTTTATGCTTAGCTAGTGTCTGACTATTTATAGTGATTATTTTTTGTGATGGGCTTAAGTAATCCCATCTGAGTTGCATTCTTTTGTCTTCACAGAGGTGAAATGCCGGATATC